CCCCAAAACCCCAAAACCCCAAAACCCCAAAACCCCTATTGGTAAATCTTAGAGTAATTCTAAGAAAATGAAAATTAATAATTTGAATTATAAATGACATTTAGAGCAGTGACTGAGGCTGTTGTGCACTTCGAGTCCTTTAGAAACATTGATCTCTTTCATTAGGGTATCTATTTCTTGAGGACTTCCTTATACTATTAAAAAGATTAAAATGTAAAGATATATATTCTGATGATAGTCTTAGTTATACTATGCACAGCCATATACAATTTTCAACGTGAAAATGTCATTAGGGAACTAGCTTGGAAATGCATAATAACTTATGAAACAGAGGAAGAAAAGAAACTAAGATCATCATAATGTGATTCCAGCCCAAATTGACAAGGGTCTATTTACTTTTAATACTAGGGGATTCATGATAAGATATTGTGAAGAAGAAGTAAGTTTTTAGTAAAAATTTATTACTGAATGCAATGCACCAAGAATGGCTAATTTTGATGAAATTTCATTCAATTAAATATAAAGAGAATTTATACTCAAGAATAATTTTAGGTTGAGCTGAATGACATAGGGCATTTTAGAGTAGAACTAGATATCGAGGATAGTTAACCTTCAAATGTAGAATTTTTCATGGAGGTTGAACTGATGTTTTCTGATCTCTAAAACTAAGGAGGAATTGAAAAATTCTAACAATCAAGTAACCTGAAAGAGATAGACGGAAATGCAGAATTCAAATGTGTGTCAGTGTAAAAATTTAAAATAAGAAAATTATGCGATGGAATCTTTGATTACGTCCCTGTTACGTTTGATGAACAGCATTTTTGCATTGCTCTCTGTACTATCCACTCTAGCCTGCTTGACTTCAGGTTCAGGTCAAGAGAATTAAAGCCATTTTCTAGAGCTGAGTATATTAAAATCCTTGATCTAGAGAAAAAGAATCAAGAAGGGGCAAATAAAGTTCCAATAGAAGATAAAAAGGCCAAAGCTGCAAAAGAAAAGCAAGATTAAGGTAAAGTAGAAGAGTGGAGGCCATAGAATATAGCTGAATACTTATTTAGTAATGAAAAAGGCGAGATAGCAGATGATATCGATGCTGAGGAGATAGACTAAATCTATAGCGGTTATATGCAGGCTCTAATGACTTCATATGAAAAATTAAAAGGAAAATTTAATAATTTTGCTGCTAAATGCTTATCAGAAAGATAGAAAAGGGAATCAGGGCTTTTGTTGGTAGCTCCTCCACTATCTTTGCCAGGAGAAAAAGATAATGAAGCAGATACTGACAATGCTACCTCAACCAAATCATTTAACCATCCAGAGGAAAGCAAACTAAAAGAAAATATGATTGGCTCTTAAAATGATAACAGAATGGGAGGGCGACTAGGGGCAAGGATGGAGATAGCTATTAAGAAAGATAACAATAAGAGTTAAGTAGGTGTAGTTGCTGCTCACAACTAAACGGTTAGAGCAGAAGATGAGTCTTAAATGAATGTTGATGATGACGAGGGTGCGGTAATTGAAGAGGAAAGTGTTTACACTAATAGAAGAGGATTAAATTAACCAAAAAATCTTATAGAACGGGAGCCTGAAAGAGAACCAGACTTTAGTTACAGGGAAAAAATGTAAGGACAAAAATTTTAGAAATCCCATAAATCTAACAATATCATAAGTGGTGGAAATGTAATCATTTGATCTTTTAATTCTTAATAGATTATAAACAATGAATAGGATTGCCCAGAAGATGATGTAGACGTTGACCCTGAGGATGAAGAGAACGGCAATCAATACAATATATCTAACGATGGTTCATTAATTATCTCCGAGTCTAATGAATCTATATTAGAAATGAAGAAAATGACTGCTATCCCTATTCTTAAGAATCAAGATTAATTCAAAAGTAAAATTAGCAAAGAGAATCAGTAATTCGATACAAAATCAAGCATGTATCATAATAACAAGAAAAATCAACTGCTTCCATTTTCTTAGAGAGTGAGACTTCAAGACCCATTTTAAATATCGTTCTAGCTTGTACAAGATATTAATCTAGTGAGCAGTCAAGTATTCTAACTCTGGCATAAATTGATAGAAATAATTACGATTAACCCCAAATTCATTTGCGAATATCTCAGAATTTAATATGAAGAGAAAATGAGAGAAGTGTAAGGAGAGCATATTTATAGAACAATCATTGAGACTAAAGATTTCGCTTTCCCAAGTGACGAAAATGTTGGAGAAATTCACAGGCAACTAGCTTATAAAAAGAGAAATGGTCCTAATGGTTCATTGTTATCCTCCACCACTGAGGCATTTAATGTTATATAATTAGGAAGCACATCATTGTCAGCTTAAAACAGCTCCTCTTCAAATATGGAATCTTAGAAAACTGGATAATAGATCTAAGCCAACAAAACAAACTAAAATAATAACCCTTAACTTTAAAAAGCACTTAATGAGCTTTAGCCTATTCTATTTGAAGAATGCTATATAAAAAGTATGGACAAGATCAAGTAAGTACATGCTGAGTTGTAGCCTAATACTTTCAATGAGTACAACTATAAGGGTGTACACTTGTTTGTAATGGTTCATGGCTTTTAAGGAAATGCTTGTGATATGAGACTATTGAGAAATAATATAGCTCTATTGTTCCCAGAAGCAATGTTTCTTAGTTCAAATGCAAATGAAGACTATACTGAAGGAGATATTTTTGAAATGGGAGTAAGATTATCCCAAGAGGTCAATTCGTATATCAGTTAATACTGTCCAGGTTCATCATTAGGCAAGATAAGCTTTATTGCTCATTCCCTTGGAGGATTAATTGTGAGAGCTGCTTTACCATTCTTAGAGGAACACTCAGATAAAATGTACAATTATTTCACCTTATCTTCAGCTCATCTTGGCTATATGTTTACTCAGAGCAAGATTGTTGATGCAGGTATGTGGCTATTAAAAACCTGGCGTAAATCCAAATGTCTCTAGCAACTTAGAATGAGTGACAATAAAAATCTCGAGGAGACTACTCTATACAAACTGAGTGAATTTAAAGGACTAAATTGGTTCAAGCATATTGTCCTAGTTTCATCATATCAAGATTCATATGCACCATTTGAATCTGCGAGAATACAGATCTGCAACAAGGCAGCTAATGATGCTAGCAGAGGTAACATCTACATTAAGATGGCAAGAAATCTACTATCTAATTTGCCAGTCGATGTGCTCTATAGAATCGATGTAGACTTTAGGATTGCAGAGAAAAATTTGGATTCCTTTATTGGAAGAACAGCGCACATTCAATTCTTGGAATGTTAGAATGTAATGAGAATGCTGATATACAGATTCAAGGAATTCTTCTGCTGAAAATATAATTATTAAGCATAATTATCATAATTCATAATTGTTTATCCTCAACATATTTATAAATCTCTTCTGGGGTTTTGGGGTTTTGGGGTTTTGGGG